CAACATCAACAGCATTATTTCCTTTAACCCCTTAAGGACCAAACTTCTGGAATAAAAGGGAATCATGACATGTCACAAATGTCATGTGTCCTTAAGGGGTTAACAACCAGCCAAACAAACAACTGTCAGCTGCTGGTTTGACCCAGCAGGCAGCTCACGTTAAAACATTTATATATAGCCTCTTCAGCCTGTCATTTATGCTAAACCGCCACCGCAGCCTAGACCCTAAACTGAGGAAAGGCTGCGTCACCCCGATGCCAGCGCCTGTACCATAACCATCTGGAAACCCATTATAAATATATCCAATCCAGTAGGATTGAGGTGAACCCCATCCTCTCTCATCATGTTCAGATTGTCGCCCTCCAGCTCAACATGGTGTATCACAAAGCCATCCAAATCTCCTCACAAATCTTGATATTGTCATGTTCAACCAGCGACAAGATTTCTCCAGAGCTTTTGCATTAGAGAGTGCTCTTCAACTTGGGCGGGAAATAACCTCAGACCAAATTAATACAAGTCTTGGAAAGAGTGCAAAGCAATGCACCAAATCATACTTACAGGCATGAATTATATCCAGTGTGCGGCCCACCTGCATTGATAAGTAGCATCCCTGGGCCAGATACAAATCGCCAGAGAGCTACACACTCTATATTTGGTGCCATCTCAACTATCTTATCCCTTGCCATTTAACCCGAACCTGTTAATGAGGAAACCCAAGATTCAAGCCATATGGTCTGTGTTTTGGGCGCCACACTGTCCAATAAATACAAGAGTGCCCTAGTATCTAGATAAAATTAGCAGAACCTGTAAAACCAACAGTCACTGGCCCTTGCGCACCAGCCATAGGTGTGGATGCACATACAACTGAAACCTACGTGATCCCTAGCATCCCAGATGCTAAATCATGGCATCAGAAAGCACTAATCTACTAACCTGAATAGTCGCTTCAATTAGAAAGTTATGGGTGGAGTAGCCATTATCCTCCACCCCTAGCATAGCACACGCAACGCAGCTTTAAACACACTAGAAAACTGTGAGTGTGTGAGCACTGACCCATCGTCACGCAAAGAAAGACGCCTCCAAGCCAGGGGGAACCCTCAAGTAAGCATTAACCAAAGACACAGGACACCAAACACCCACAGAAGCACTGATCCAAACGCTATGACTCGCACCACTCTGGTCCATCTTAGACCTTCTAATCCACAATCCCATTGAATTAGTATTACTAGAAACGTCCAATACAGACAGTGCTGAACAACTCCTAGCTCTAGGAGCGACTAATTCGCCTATGTGCAGAGCTCCACACAAACAAAGGGCAAAAGCTACACGGTAGACAGAGTTTCAAATGGGGAAAACAAATGGATGGAAGCATACCACACAGGTTTTCTAAGAAGGGAACTGATATCGGATGGCCAACGTCAGCTACCTGTTCTATGAACTATATGAAACCCGGAATGAGGCATGATGCAATTGAGTTGTGCGCCATTGCGCATGAATGATGACGTTATCCGTTATGCGTGAGGTGAAAGGTTACACTGCCGGAACAGAAATGGAACCTGGAAGGGACCAGAGGATTTTGTAAGAATAGCGCCAAATGCAATTTTTGAACAGGACAGGACCCTATATAAATGGACAGAGGGAAGGACTAAACATGCACCTTGAAGAAGACCGTAAGGTTGAAATGCATTATGCTTTTTATCCTGGACTTTCAATTTGCTATTTGTTGCTGCTATTTCCTTTATTTTGCACTTTATTTTGAAGTAAATCGAATTGAACTACTAAGTTTGTGGAAGAAGGCACTGCAGGATTAAATATCACATCAAAGCAGCTTCACTCATTGATAAGCCAACATAGCCAAAGCTTGCTATATGTGGCTCTGGGAGGTGGGAGTAATCCAAAAGCTATGTGAGATTTTATGTTTTGTAGATTAATCAGCAGTGTACCATCAGGATTTTCCTGTAATAAGTATATCTCATTGTGTGTTGGTGATTACTATTGCGCACCCTGTATTTTGCATTATCTGTGATATTTAAACCAGCATTGACCTCCATACACTTTGTAGCCCCACCCCCATATAAAATCCAAATAAGCAAAAAGTAATGGAATCTACTAGACAAAATACTAGAAAAGGTACCGAATCCCTACAACCAATTACCTAATGTGATGGATCACCTGGCACCCCGACTGGGTGCCTCCGCCAATCGCTGCTTCCTAGTAGCCTGGAGTACTATAAGCACCGCACCAGATACCATAAGCACCGTAGCCCCTTAGCAGCCGCTGCTTCGCTGGGGTCTTGCTGTCCTCCACTTACCCTGGACCCAAGCCCAGGATCCAGCTTCCAGTGGGTGGACCTCTCCTACTCCAGAGAGCCTAGCAGATATAGCTGTGTAACTCTTACAAGAGCTAGTGATTATAGCCAGTATAGCAATCCAAAGCAGGTATATCTTGTATAGCTGTTCCCTACAATCACGAGACGAGGCTCTGTGTTGAGGGTAAGCAAGAACTCTTTTAATGGTAGCCACAACTGGTCTTTTATGCAGGTCCCCATGCAAGGGGCTCTCCCACCTGGACCTGAGAGTAAACCGCAGCAGAAACAAATACACAATTACATTGGCTCTCAGATCCAGGACACCCACACATAACTAGGTCAATCCCTCCTCTGTACTTGGGAGATAATTGAGTCAAGTACTGTATTAACTCAATTATCTCAAGACACAAAAAACACACATTTTCATAAAACCCCTAAAGTACCTTTAAAACATACAAAACCCCCACAAAAGTTACATCCCCTGATAGCCCCGATCAGGGGTTAAGGAATTTTCTGGAAGTCATAGTTTTTGCCGACAGCACGCATGGTCCCATGCCCTAAAGAGTTCCATAGAATCGTGGCTAAGTGCCGCTGGGGACGACAGGGAACCGCAAAGTCTTCCTGCCAAAAACAGTTCCATAGAATCGCTGGTAAGTGCCGCTGGGTGACCAACCAGGAACCACAAAGTTTCCATGCCAAAAATAGTTCCAGGGCATTCCTGGCTAAGTCCCCCTGAAGTCTATTAGCGGTTTTGGTCCATGCGAACGGCCGCCAGGGAGCTAGCATTCGGTTCTATGGAAAGTGCCGAACCAGGGGGAATAAACTATGGGTCTTTACAGTCGCTCACAGTTCACAGTGGGATTGTTTTTGGCTGGTGGCTCTGGGGCGCAGGAGGTGTAATAGGCCTGTCCAGAGGAGATGTGCCAGCTCAGGACATCATGCTTGGAGGAACTATAAGTAGTACTCGGGCGCCTGGAATGTGGGCTGTCTATGTTAAGATCTGGAATGAATGGGAGGAGGCTGTGATCCCGCAGTTAAGGGAAAGGAGGTTGGATACCCTCTTGTAGTTCTTGTGTTATTTTTTCACCCTTCATGCGTCTCTGTCTGTGATCGACTGGAATATGGTGGCTTTTGGCATTTTTGTTTAGGTTAAACATTTGGGAGGATCATACCAAAAATGTTATAATTTGCCACGTCCAGTGTCTTTTAAAGTGTTACACAAAGATTGGTGTTTTTTTTTTTATGCTCATCTATTTTCGTATGGGTGTTTTTGGGGCTTTTCAGATTGGTGAACTGGTGGGTAGTAATCAGGCTGGTGTCGGTGGGGGATGTGGAAGTCGAATTGGGGGACGGATAGGGTGGAGATTCAGTTGGGTCAGAGTTCTATGGTTACACTATTTTATGTGCAGGGTCTGGTGCCTGCTCATTTTTTTGTTCTTCTAGCTATGATGGGATTCATCCTGGGGTTGTGGGTTGTTTTTTGGTACATGTATATGGGTCTGCTTTGTCGTAATTTTTTTGTCGTAAAGATTTTTCAGATGGTTTTGTAGTGGTTGTGCTTGGATTTGATGGAGTTTAGGACTCACTATTTTTGAATAGTGGCAGCAATGGAGACACCCATTAGGCAAGGAGATGGAGAGATTATCATGATGCTGAAAATAAGATAAATAGCATTAAGTGGGGAGGCAGGATTTCACAATATGTTTGTATTCCTGACACTATAGTGTTCCTCTAAGCAAATTAAAGGAACATTCTGGTCACCATAAATGAAAATGCTATGATGCCAGGAGGCCCCTGTGCGCTCTCTTTCATTTAAAGGGTTAAACCGCTCTCAAATAGTTTAACACCAAAGGCTTCCTCCAGCTCCAGATCTCCAGGTTGCTCAGTGCTATTCAGCTTCTGAAACAGAGTGTCAGGAAGTGAAGATTGACACGAGGCTTGGGTGCTGTTGATTGGCTAGAGTGATCAGCTGATGCTCTAAGCCAATCGCTAGTTCCCAGTTCATAATTTAAAAAAAAACTTTTTTTATGATTGGGGAGCAACTAATTCGCTTAGAGTGCCAGCTGACCGCATTAGCCAATCAGCGGCACCCCTACCCAGTGGCACTCTATGCTTCCTGACACTCAGTAAATAAAAGTGAACACATTAACACTGATAGTTTTTTTTACCTGGGGAGGTGAGAAGGTACAACATTTCCCTGCTGGGCCCAGGTACCAAAGCCTTATGACGTGGTGTCCAGAATGAAGTGGAGGGATCACTTCACTTGTCCTTCCTGCTCCAGTCTCCTTTTCTTCTCCTTCATTTGACACTGTCTTCTTTTTCTTCTGACACTGTCTTCTCTCCTCCTTCTACACCTTTACCTTTCTGCTACTTTCTGCTTCTTTTGTGCCAATCCCTTTCTGCTATGTTTGATCCCTTCTGCTCCTTCTGACCCTTCCTGCTCCTTGCTGACCCTTCCTGCTCATTTATGTTCCTTTCTGCTCCATCTCCTGTGGTAAATTACCAAATTAATATATATATTACACAAGGTTCATCTACATTAAAAAGGTATTTATTAGAAGGCAACAACACAATACTATAAATTATCACAAACACACAGCCCAGACCCATGGAGCAACAACCCTTTTTAATCTATCCCTCTTTTTTTATATATATATATATATATATATATATATATATTTATCCTCTTCCCCACATGTTTGATCTCACCCACGGTTAGGGCTTCACATCTAGTAATGGCTCACTGCTGCAAGTTCAACATCACATCCACCAAGGAAGAAAAGGAAGCAACAGACTGTAACATAGTTCACCATGACAAGAATTAGCCCATGTCTGCTCAGTAGAACAACCAAGAAGGAACAGGGAGGAATGGAGATAGGGGGAAGTGGTTTTCTCTCTCCTGACTTGTAAAGGTATTGAATTACCCAATTAAAATATCAAAGGCTAAAGCTTATCCCCCTGTAAGAAAGGCATTCATGAGCTTGGTCACATGACCCCTGGTCACCATATTAGTTTGATGACAAAATGTCACCACATTCCATCACTTTTTCTTCTGTTATGTTGAGCACATTTAAAAATAATAATATATCCCTCTTATCTATCTAAACTATGAGATCTGAAGTAGGAAAGGGGAGCACAGGAATTATAGTGAGTGAGATAAGTAAGGTGAAAGAAAACAGTCAAATAGGGATTGCACCACCCCACATTCTCACACTTTTTCTTCTTCTATGTTGCTCCATTATCTAGTTATCCCTCTAGTGCAAGAGAACCTAGTGGGAGCAAAAACCTGATATACAGGAGAAATTCAACCCACCGTCCCTCCGGAATAGTTCCCTCAGCGACATAAGTTCTCCCGTACTTTCCTATGGCTGTCAATTCACATATTAAACAAATTTGTCACAAAAATAAACAGAACTTATAGAATTTAGGTGAGTGTGTGTGTGATAAATGTTTATGTATGTGCAATGTAAAACTTTATTGAAAAATGAGAGAGCGAGAGAGAGAAGAAAAAAACAAAACATTTAAAGTTTCTTCCTCATCCATTTCATTGCCACACAAAAGTCTAATGTTATAACGGTTATTACTTGAATGAGCATGAGTGCTAGCGACAGAGTTCGTAGGACTAGATGTGTCTCTACATTGGTAAGAATAATCCCTTTTAATAGTGTCCTTTAATCTGCAAACAGAACAAAAGATGGCAGTTCCCACTTCTTGATATTGTTAGTAATGGAAGCTATATTCTCCGCCAGATGTAGGTTGTGGGCAATAGTGTATATCCACATTGTCTTCTCACTATAAGAAAGTCAGCTTTCCCACCTATTTTCATAGCATGTCCCATGCCATCAGTGAGGGAGTTTGTCCTGCTGTTAAGTCCAATGATATTTGCGGAAATCCATACTCCCAATCCAGTTCTGACTCCTCCCAGAAGGATTGCAAATATGTCCCGTTTTTCCCGACTCCCTGCTTTGCCTAAACTAATCCCGCTGTTGTTCCGGACACCTTGGAGGAATAGAAGGATTTTAAAATGTAGACTCAAATCTTTTTAAACGGTGATACAGCTTATACTTAACCATCCTGTAACAAGGATCCACCATGATCTTCTGTTGACACAAATCATCGTCCTAATACAGCTTTGCCTTGCTCTGTGGGAACACTAGATCTCATCATTAGAAATATATAGCGATATGGGAGACTGGAAGACAGAGAAAGAACAACAAAAAAGCAACAACAAAAAAACATACACACAGTATGTAGAGAACAAAAACATTTTTAATTGCTGGGACCCCACAATCAGTCTTTCCCTCCTCTCTCATCTGTTCCCTAAGCTCTTTCATGTCTGCCTCCAATCTCCAAGTCTGTCTCTTTAAGTCCCGTATTCTCTATTCCCTTCTTTATTCCTCCAATTATCCCAATTCCGTCTATTGGTCTGATGCTCATCCCATCTATGGTTCCTCCTCCAGTTATTCTGCCAATAACTGTTCCTGTTGTTTCTTCATTTTTCTCCCCAACTGTGATTTTCCCAGTTATTACTACTTCTTTTTAGCCTCTCCCAGTTATTATTATTCCAATTATTGTTGATTGCCCGAGGCTCTTCCAATCTATTTCTCCCACTATCTCTCATTACATTGCTTCCTTTAGCACTGTCCCTATTCCTATGGTCCCTCTGTGGATCTCTCCATCTTTTGTCAAAGTCCTGTTTTGGTCTCCAGTTCTCATTATCCCTCTTGTTCTAAGGGACATCCCACCTCTGGTTTCTCCATTTACCATCTATTTCTCTACCAGACTCGACCTTGAATGTTCTTACGTCTGAAACAGAGCAGGCCTGGTCTGTGAAAGGATGCTTGATCCACCAATTGTCAGTTCTAGTTAGTACCATTTCTAAGTCTGTTGGTGTTGGATCAAAAAGCCTGACAAATTATTGACACTCCCAGGGAATGGCTTCCATTACTTTAGCAATGTGTTCTGGTGAGCTCAACACCAGGGGCTGTTGAGGTTGGCGCAATGTAGACCAGAACAATAGCCGATGGGCTACCTCTCTAGGAACATCTGTTGGCCTCATAATATTCGCTATTTCTTTCTCTATGCTAAGTAGATAGAAATTAGTTGCAGCAATTCTTCCTGCCTGATCAGACACACTGTTATTAAATCCCAATAGTGTACTAGCAAAAGGATCCATAGCGTATTCTAACAGTTCTGTCCATTCCTCTAAGTTAAGACCTCCTTTTTTAGCTCTATCTGCTCTCCTCATAAACCAATGTGTAAACATATTAAAGTTGTTAGTTGGCATAATTCCCCACCTTTCTGGAAATTGTCTTTATCTGCAACAGACATTGGTCGAGTCTGCATAGACAATCCTGTTGGTGCTTGCCTTGCATTAAATAATTCTGATACAATAACTGGTGCTTGTGGTATGGTATCTACTTGTGGAACAGAAAAACATAAGAACTCTTTTCTATTTTGGTTGAATTTCAGTACAGGTTCTTTATTTTGTGCCACGAACATATCCAGATTTGGATATATTTTGGCAATGTCTCTAACTGCTTATTTTATCCCTTCTAATTTTGTTTTATTTTTATAGTCCATTATTATGTTTTGAAGTTCTGTTATTTTTACTCCATAAGCATCCCTCTGCTCTTCTATTTCTCTTAACTCCTTTTCTAGTTCCCCAACAATTGTAGTTGTTCTCAAAGCTGCAATTTTTAAAATCCCTTTTGTCCATTGCTTCCTCCATTTTATTTGTTGTTTGCAAATTATGATGCCGTAATTCTATAACTATGTCTATTAGGCCTCCTTTTGTGGCTACAACAGCTTGTGTGACCAAACTTTTTCTTCTCTTTGTTCTATACTTTTTGTTATTTACAATTTGTGTTAGTACGTCCATTAATCTCTCCTCTTTTTCACTGTCTGGGTTTGCTGGCTCTGGAAGCTCATATGGACCATCATGTTTTTGAATACTTATGTACTTCTGTGGAAAAATATTTGACCCCTTGAAAAGACATCCCTACTCTTTCACTCACCCAAGTAAGAACCCAATTTAAATCAATTTGCGACTAAAGTAGCACGCCTCTGAATAGATGACTATTCAGTAGGCCAGGTGTAAATAGAAAAAGCAAAACTCAATTGCCTTCGACTGCTAAATACCATGGGTGGGGAACACAATATCCACAACTCTACTGTGAAGCTTGATTTAGAATATGGCCTAACACATGCCCAGTTTTGTTATATGTAGCAAAATAGACTAGTACCCACAATGCAAATTATATTTACCTTAATATGGTGAAGGTAATACTTGCTAATTAACTTCAAAACCAGTAGTGCCTAAATTAGCATATTAAAATAAAATTGCAAGGCATGGAGGGTAGGAGTTATACCTGAACTAGGATATTCAAGACACACAAAAAAGTATGGAAGCCTACTATAGTGTATTAAAATGCAGGGCTAGGCCTGTACTCTGATAGTCAAAACACGACAAAACTTAACTCAGATATTTGAAACACACAAAAAAAAACCTGTATTATACCTTTGTTTTATGTACCAAAATAAGCTAGTACAATATAAAGGATTAAAACAATAATATATTCAAAATTGAGGCCTATGCTGGTAGTGTATTCAAAAAATGAAGGCCTGAAAAAAAAAACTGCTAGGCCTGAACTACGATAGTCAAAACACAACAAACTCAGATATTTGAAACACACAAAAAAACTGTAATAATATATTCCAAATTGAGGCCTGATGTCTAAGCTGGTATATTAAAATGGAGGCCTGAACTAGACTCCAAACTCAATCAGCCCTTGATTTCCCATGCAGAGGATAATTAAAAAAGTACTAGTTTTCCCCCTCTCCAAAAATAAATCTGACTAACTATTAATTTGTTATTTCCTCATAAATAACCTTTGCAGAAGTCTAAAATTCATGGCCGCCAAAATGTGGCGTATTACCAAATTAATATATATATTACACAAAGTTCGTCTACATTAAAAAAGTATTTATTAGAAAGCAACAACACAAAACTATAAATTTATCACAAACACACAGCCCAGACCAATGGAGCAACAACCCTTTTTAATATATCTCTCTTTTTAAATATATATAGTAATCCCCTTCCCCACATGCAGTGGCGGATCCAGAGCCTGATCTCGGGAGGGGCACTTGTAGATTATTTAAAGAAATAATCCAGGCACAATAACCACTACAGCTCAGTGTAGTAGTTATGGTGCCAGTAGTGTCAGGATCCCATCCCAGAGTAAGTAGTCAAACCGTTTAAGAACAGTTTGACAACTTACCTTGGGTCTGCTGGGATATAGGGCATAGGAGCAGTGGTATGTGTTAGGGGTGCAGTGTGTGTGTGGTCGGTGAAGTGTATGTGCGAGTGTGTGAGGGCGGCAGTGTTTGTCAGGGTTGCAGTGTGTGCGTTAGGGGGCAGTGTATGTGTGGGGCAGTGTGTGTGTGTGTGGGGCAGTGTGTGAGGCTTGCAGTGTATGTGTGTTTGGGGCAGTGTGTGTATGGGGGGCACTGTATGTGTGTTTGGAGGAGTGTGTGTATGGGGGCAGTGTTTGTGGGGCAGTGTGTGTAGTGTGTGTATGTGGGGCAGTGTGTTGTGGGGCAGTGTGTGTATGGGGGCAGTGTTTGTATGGGGCAGTGTTTGTGGGGCAGTGTGTGTATGGGGGCAGTGTTTGTGGGGCAGTGTTTGTGGGGCAGTGTGTGTAGTGTGTGTATGGGGCAGTGTTTGTGGGGCAGTGTGTGTAGTGTGTGTATGGGGGCAGTGTTTGTGGGGCAGTGTGTGTCGTGTGTGTATGGGGGCAGTGTTTGTATGGGGAAGGAAGGAGGGTAGGGAGGCTTTTTAATAATAATAAAAAATTTATTTAATAAAATAAATATACTTTATGTCCCCCCTCCCTTCTTACCTTTACTGGGAGGAAGGGGGACATTTCTTAGTCCCTGGTGGTCCGGTGGGGAATCCCTGGTGGTCCCAGTGGTAGGAGTGAACTCTGGCCCATAGCTCCAGGACTAGAGTTCACTCTTGCGAGATTTGGAGAGTTGCCGTGGTAACCGCGTCAACGCTCCATGCTCGCAAGAGGAGGACCCGGAGGAGCTGCAGGCTGAGCTCCCGGGATCTCTGATTTCTGATCTCTGATCTCCCTCCCTGGTCTGCAGGCACATTGCAGGGCTGGCACTTAGACAATGCCAGCCCTGCACTAGCCGGCAGGGGAGAATCTCGGGGGGGGCAATTGCCTCGTTGCCCCCCTCCCCCTGGATCCGCCACTGCCCACATGTTTGATCTCACCCATGGTTAGGCCTTCACATCTAGTAATGGCTCACTGCTGCAAGTTCAACATCACATCCACCAAGGAAAAAAAGGAAGCAACAGACTGTAACATAGTTCACCATGACAAGAATTAGCCCATGTCTGCTCAGTAGCACATCCAAGAAGGAACAGGGAGGAATGGAGATAGGGGGAAGTGGTTATCTCTCTTCTGACTTATAAAGGTATTGAATTACCCAATTAAAATATCAAAGGGCAAAGCTTATCCCCCTGTAAGAAAGACATAAATGAGCTTGGTCACATGACCCCTGGTCACCATATTAGATTGATAACAAAATGTCACCACATCTCCTATTTTACCTTTGTGCTCATTCTGCCCCTTCCAACTCATCGTTGACCCTTTCTGCTCTTTGTAGACCTTTCCTGCTACTTACAATCTCTTTCCTGCTCATATTCCTTTCTGCCCCTTCCTGCTACCTGCTGACCCTTTCTGCTACTTGCTACCCTTCCCTGCTAATTTCTGTTCCTTTCTTCTCCTTCTTCTACTTTACCTTTGTGCTCATTCTGATTCTTTCTGCGCCTTTACCTTTGTGCTCCTTATGTCCCTTCATACTCCTTGCTGACCATTTCTGCTCCTTGATGTCCCTTTCTGCTCCTTGCTGCCCTTTCCAACTCCATGTAGACCCTTTCTGCTCTTTGCAGACCCTTCCTGCTACTTACAAACCCTTCCTGCTCATTTCTGACTTTCTGACTTTCCTCAGGATCTGGTGTCATTGGTGTGGTTAGGTTTGGTGTGGTGTGGTTTTCTGAGGTTTTAGTTGGTAGAGCATCAGTGGGGAAATTTTTCAGAGGGTGGCTGCGGGTGCTGCTCAAGATGTGTTGGTGATTCACGCTGGGGGCAATGATTTAGGGCTCGTCCCACAGAGGGAATTAGTCTAGTGGGCGAAGAGGGATGTTGATCAGCTACGGGAGCTGGTTTTTAGCAGGATATTAACAGGACCCTGTTTTTGTGTGGTGGAGGCACTCAGGAGCTTCAGGTGGTTAAGTCCTGAACTGTGGGCAGGTAAAAGCCAGGTTAAATTGTGAGGTAGATGGAGTAGGAAGTGGGCATGGTTAGGTTTAGTGTGGATTAGTCAGGGGTGTTACAGTTGCATTGTAGGTTCGAGATCGTCGGTTGCTCCAAACCTGGGGGTGTATGGGATGTCTTGGTACACACCTGCAGTTTAATCAGTTTGAAATGGGGCAGTTTGGATGGCAGTGTTAAATGTTATATGTTATTTATATTGTTATATATTGTTATTTTCCGTGTTGGGTCATTGCCAGGGGTATTTATGTATTGGGGGGGATGTTGGTTTTAAATATGATTAAGTATTTGTTGGCAATGACCTTATTTTGTTATATTTTGTTCTATAATAATTTAATAAAGCTGAAGACAAATATTTTTAATTAGAAAAGTCTGTGTCCGTGTTTATTGGGGGGTTTTAAGGGTAAGTGTTAGTGACAATGCCTGACAAATGACTGTGAGCATGTCATGAATTAGCAAAGCTAAAATAAGAGTAAATGGGAGCAAATTTTGCTCGGATTTCAGACTGACTAGATCCGAATGATTACAACACCTGGATGTTTTTGGAGATGGATTTTTTATTTTTTTTGCCATATTTAAAACATCCAAACTATATGGCCGCTGGCAGAGCTTGCAAAGCATGTTAATTATTTTACCTACTTTGCCTGTCTGTGGGGAAGATCTAGACAATATCCGGTAACTATCTGATGATTGGTAAATATGCAAAATCTATATTTTATATGGTATTTGCATGTGAAAAGTCCCTTACACCAAAAAGATCAGACCAAATATTGCTAATTCAGTCGCCCGAATTTTAGCAGGATTTGGATTTAGTAAATATAATATTCAGAATGCAGTCATCTGCACTGATTTTTGTCCATCCAGGCATAATTCAGTGCTAAGTAAATAAGGCCCCACAATGCACTGTCGCAAACTGAAAACTGACATTGTAAAATGTACATGAGAAATAAAAGCTAGGAAGATGTTAGGGAGAAGCTATAGTGGCAGGTGAACAACTTTGTTTTCTTGGCGCTATAGTTTCCCTTTAATAAATAAATAAACAACAATTTTGTTGAAACACCCCATCCTCAAACTGAACAATTGGAACTGCATATATCCGACCTATCAGCTTTCACTCAAATTTGTTGAAGGGATGTAAGAGAGCTCCGCCAAGGAACGATTCCTATCAGGAACAGGGGACCAACCACAGCACTTCTGCCCACAGTAGCCATGGCTTCACTGGGGTCCTGGAACCACTCCCTCATGGAGCAGAATGAGGAAAATCACCCAGATCGGTTCAGGGGTTCGGGAATTTCCTGGAAGTCCTAATTTGACCGGCCACACACGAGGCTCCTGCCCAAAACAGTTCCATAAGATCAGGGCTAGCGGTCGGTCTAGTTCAGTAGTTTAAAAGCGAACACACTACCGAATATAGTTAATATTCTTACCCTGGAGCTTGTTTCCCTTGTTCGTGTGAATGTTTCCATCGAACAGGGTCTTTCTAAGTGTAGTAGAACCGAACACAGGTGATGCTGGAAGTCCAGCAGTGTTTGGGAGTTTCTGTATCCGTTTTCAGTTCCATGAACTTGACGACCAAACACCGCTGCCCGCGTTCGTGCGAACAAGATGGCCGACACCTTGTGGTCGTCCATAGGAAATGCGTCCACCCAGACGAACACTTAGAACACTGTGATGGAAATTGCTAGAAACAGGCAATTAGGCTTAACAAGCTCTCAGGTGGTCTCTGGTTCATGTGGCTGTTCTGTTCTCGAACCATATAGTCCAAATACACGAACAGAGACTTTTACAGGGCATATTACAGGGCCCATAGTCTGTGGGCAGGAGGCTGGCAAGCAGGCTCCTCCAAGAGCTTGTGGCAAACTCATGTGGGAAGGGAAATTTGTCACAAGGGACTATTCTAAAAAGCACATAGGAAGTAATGGATTTAAAATGCTAAAAAAAAAAAAAGAACAAGAAAAAAAACCAGTTTCTTTGTTGTTTAATCCCCCTTGTTTCCTGGTTAGCAAACATTCCTTCTACGCTTTGCTATTTTAGGTTTTGGCTGCTTTCCAGGAGCACTGCCTTCCTTGTTTTCTGACAGAAATGTTTGCTTATACTTTGTCAGCTGTACTTCAACCTCTGGTACAAAGGGTCAGTGTTTCTACTGCTGGGTGTTTGTTAGAAAAGTCGGTAAGTTGCATTAGTAAATCAATATTTTTTCCATAAAATAATATATGTCATGGTATGCACATGAGCAAATGTAAATGGTTCTAGCAAATGTCCCTCCTTGGAACCCAATCTCTGTGTCCCTCTTTTCTTGGACCTCAGAATATTTCTTGTGCATTCATTTGTTCCAGGGCTCCACAGCAAGTATGCTCCTAGCAATTAGTCTTTAAACTGCAGCAAATATGTGTTTAAGATAGTATTTTTAAATACTATAAAGATCTAATTAATGAAGTTAAATAAACAATCTAAACTGTTGTCTTTAATACTCTGCCAAGGATGTCAGATACATCATGTTTTGATAGACAGACATCACTTATACATATTAATGGACAGTGCAGGAAAAGTGTTGCCCTGTATTATGTAGATTTTGAATTATGCAAGTAGTTAAAAGACCACAATAGGCACCCAGACCACTTCAGCTCAATGAAGTGGTCTGGGTGCCAGGTCCATCTAAGGTTAACCCTGCCGTTGTAAACATAGCAGTTTCAGAGAAACTGCTATGTTTACACTGAGGGTTAATCCAGCCTCTAGTGGCTGTCTCATTGACAGCTGCTAGAGGCGCTTCCCCGCTTCTCACTGTGAAAATCACAGTGAGAAGATGCTGACATCCATAGGAAAGCTTTGAGAAATGCTTTCCTATGGACTGATTGAATGCGCTCGCAGCTCTTGCCACGCATTCGCATTCAGCGCTGATGCCGGAAGAGGGAGGAGATTTTCCCAGAGCAGAGGGAGACCGGCGCTGGAGAAAGGTAAGTGATTAACCCCTTCCTCCCCCTTCAGCCCGGCAGGAGTGGGACCCTGAGGATGGGGGGACCTAAAGACACTATAGTGATCCTTTAAGTATTTATTCAGTCAGGAATTCTTCAGTATATATATTGACTGTAGGGCAGTACATTTCATGTGCTGCCCATAAACACGAAGACATTTAGTGCATCCATCCAAAACTTGTGAGTATAGCAAATTTTCTTGTTCCCAATACTTTGACCTCAATAACACCTCTTTCAACACAAAGGTCACATTTTAGCCATTAGAAAGTTTGATAGGTTTTTAAATGTTGAATCCAAAGCTTGCAGAAACAAATATTAAGCTTGGTAATACAAAATGTAATCAGAATTTAGCATTTTAATTTGTGTATTGGGCAAAAAAACTCCTTTTCCAAATGTAACAAATTAAAGTAAATTATAATAATGTTCAATGAATTCTTTGTTCTAGTATGTTAAAGGGATAATATAGTGCCAAGAAAACAGTTCCCTTGTTTCCACCCCTCCTGAAGGGGTTAAAATCCAGTGCCGAGGGTCAGGCTCCACCCACACTCCTCAACCGCCAACATCAGCTGTTGTGGTAGACCTAAATTTTTTCAATGCTTTCCCAGGGGGGTTTGATTGACGCTGGATGTCTTCATGCACAGCATGAGGACATCCAGCGTCATTTAGGCAACTTTTGGTTGCCTAAGCACCTGGAAGTCCCTCTAGTGGCTGTATGGTAGACACCCAATAGAGGTGGAGTTAACCCTGAGAGGTAAGTATTTTAGTTTCTCAGAAACTGCAATAATTACCTCTGTAGGGTTAAGGATCATGGGACATTGCACCCAGACTACTTCAATGAGCTGAAGTAGTCTGGGTACCTATAGTGTCCCTTTAACAAAAAGTTGCTCTAAATGAAATAATGGTGCTTGCAGTGTTACATTAAATGTGTACTAATATCTGGAAATAAGAAGAAAAACTACTAGAGAGTTTGAGTAACATCCCTCAGTATAGTCTGATTTAATTATAACCTACAAATTTCCCTACATCGAATCAACAGATCAATGTGATTTAAAAAGAATTATATATGCTAACCACATGAATGCTCAGCCTGTACTTTAACATGAAGACTGCACACCTGCTGACTGCTTGCACAGTTCTGAATCTGTAAAGGGCACAGGTGGTGGTATTATAACTTTGTATTAGGTATTTTTAGGTATTGGACAGGTGTGAAAGAATTTACCTTGATTCCAGGGCTCAAGCTTATAGGTGTCATATTAGATATCCTATATTAAAATTGGCTAACTTGGACTCAGGAAATGCTTAATGCTTAAAACAACACTTAAGACCATATATGTCTAGTTCCGGGAACAGATAGCCCCCACCTGAGCTGTCTCTCCTAAATCAGTATGTTTCTTCTCTTTCCTGGAACTTATCTGTTATATGTACATGACGTTCATCCTTATGTCTTATCTGTACTCCCTTCACCCTTTCACTCCTTTCCTACTACTGTTCTATGAGTATTTGCACGTAAGTATTTACTTTTTAATGTATAAAAGCACAATTCATAAAATAAAGGTCAGAGGCTTATTTGGATAACCAACACGAGTCTGGTGTCTAATTCACGCTTCTCCAAGTGCACTTCAAAATAACAATTTGGGTTCCCCTAAATATAACAAAGATCAATATTGGATCTATATCACAGGTAATATGGGGTGTCCAGTTTTTACATATGACAATATAAGAAGCAGGTAATAGCCATAAGAATATAGCTTGTCAGCTGCCAGTTCTTGCATCAGTGCTGCTCTTTCCCAAATATTTTTGCAAATAAAACAGTCAGTTGGCTGAAATTATTTAGCATTTATTTGCTGGTTTTGCAGGTCAGTTACATAAAAAATAGGCAGTGAGCACAATTCTACAATGTCCCTTTAAGTGCACACTTGTGTGCTGAGTTGCAAATATATTTGATCACTGCATTCAAAACAGCAGATGTGAGTATACCAGAGAGGGAGTGATTCAAGGCTTCTGTTACACATTCTGCTGCAATGGACCATTTGAAAAGAACAGACCAGCCTTTTATTCAGTCAACTAAACCCTGATAGGATCTCATAACAAAAAAACAACCAAAACAACTTTCCCGGTATGATACATGTAGAATGTATAATCTAATATAGACCTATTATATCCCAACCTTTAATATTTATTCTTTTATTTTCCATAGTTTAATAAAGTTTGTCAGATTACCAATGCTTTTAGAATTTTAGACTGATGTATTTTTTCTTTATGTATAACTGCCAGAGATGGGCAGAAAAGAGAGGGTGCACAGAGCAGTGGATCCAAAGAATGGACTAGCTGACTAACGTCCTCTCAAAGCAGACCATGCAAAGCATATTGTTGAAGCAGTCTGTGCATGGTCCTTATGTCCAGTCCCCTCCTGCATTTTAAAATCCACCAGCAGACAATTAAATTCAGGACAGATCCCTGGGCCCTATTTTGGCCTGGATAATACCCCAAAATGCAGGACTATCTTAGCCAAACCGGTACTGTTGACACCTATAGTATTGATTGACAATGCTAAAATATGAGATTCAGAGAACATAACATACCATACCATGAGCATACTTGGCCAAGCTTTGGCCCATTCACAATCCAATACTAAAAGTAAAGGTGGCCCAGAACGGTACCCTGGCTTAAGACATTTGTGGCCTTAATCCTTCTCTCCTGGAAAACTGCGATCGAATACGTACCTAGAAGAGTAATTACTAAAGAACAGACAAGCCTCAGCATATTGAAAATCAATTATTCAGCCAAGGGATTCAAATATTCTTGATCCACATCAGCAATTGGGTTTTTCCATAACACATCTTGACCTTGACTCGTAAAAAACTGTTTCCTCCCCTCTCATATCTGCCTCCATTCTGCCTATTTCTCTTCTTTGATTATTATAATTCTATGTGTATGTGAGTGTGTGGGAGGAGGAGGGTGGTCTTAATGGTATCTGCCAGTTACACAATATACCCTGCACCCACATTTCAAACTCCCTTTTCTCTCCTTCCAAACACTTTCAAAGCTACTCCACTTTGGCAACCGGGGGTTTAGCTTTTCAGACCTTAGTGAATGAGTCAGTGAGCTATTCAGTAGACACTGCAGAGTGCATGCTAGCTCAAATTCAGACTTTGAAGATCAGAGCCCACAGGATAGAAATGGTAACTGAGGTGTGCTGCCTGATACACTTCTCTTGCAAATCGAAAAAAGTTAATGTTACATGCTCCTTTTAACAATTCATTCCCAATTTAAATGAACCCATACTCAAATGTTTAATTTACCTTTAACTCCAAATACATTGAATATATCATGTAACACAGATATATATGATGTATACAATGTAAAATGTCAATATATACTAAATTTTGCTTCTGTTCCAGTGCCATCATGTTCTGAGCTTTGTGGGTGATACTGGTGGGGCTATGGCTCACTGACAAGTACAGCAAAATGCCATCATCTAAACCCTGTGTGAGGTCCATCGGGTGGCCCATGTCCTAAGGGCCAATCTATGGACATGTGCAATGAGGGGC